TGCTTCAGATTTCAATTTTAGAGGGCATATCCATGTGTATCAGTTATAATCATCAACAAAAATAATGTAGTATCTGAACCCTTTAGTGGACAATATAGGCCAGGACCCCACAAATCAAAGTAAACGAAGTCTAAAGGGGCCTGTGCTCTTGAATTAGAAGAAGGGAAACTACATTGTGACAATTTGCCATAGGCACAAGCTTCACATACATAATTTTTATTAACATCAGCAGTAAATCTCACATTCAGCTTATTTAGTACATAATGTAGTGCTTTAGTACTAGAGTGTCCTAGTCTAGCATGCCAAAGTGAGGGAGTACTTGGTAGTGTAGATGTTGTTTTACAAACAAAAACATTATTGTCAACAGTATTGTTCAAGCTTTGTGAATCAGCTAAAGACTTATTAAACATTCTATATGAACTTGAAGAGGTCATTGGTGGTGAGCGAAGTGATGCAGAATTATTTGAAGCAGCAGTAGAATTGACTAAAGTAACTATAGGAAAACCAGTAGTGAATGGAAGATCCAGCCGATAAAGACCATCCTTGACAGTCCCTTGCAGCAGTATAGCTTTGCTGCCTCTATCCTTTACCAAACAATGGTCAAAATAGAATTCAACACTCACATTATTATCTTTTGTGATTTGGGAAATACTTAACAAATTTTTTGCAATCTTAGGCATACAAAGAATATTCCTGAGATGTAAAATCCTATGACAATCAGAGGAAGGCAGCGTTACCTGTGTGAGTTATTGCAAGGACTCACCATTCCCAACTTGCACCTTAGAACCCCTTGACTATCCTGATGTCATCAGTATAGTATTTGTGCCTGCAGTCATATGGTTGGAAAGCTCTTGAGTCCATGTACTAGGACTGATCCTTCACTATTTGCGGTGTAGCAAGTGTTTGACCAGCATGTCCTATGGGCAAGATAGTATATGATTTGGTGGAAGGGCCAAAAGTGCTTTGTGAAAGTTGGGGGGAAGCTTGCATGGTGAAGGCTGGACCAGGAGCAAGTTGATGCATTGCTAGAGCTCCAGTAGCTGAGTAATCATGAAACCGTCCAGCATGATTATTGTAGTACTAGACTGGTACAGTAGTTCCAGCATAAATGGCTTAAGGAGTCTCATTTGGAGAGGTTGAATAGGCATGTTGTACAGTGGGCAAAACATGTTGATTTGCTCCAGTATGATTGACATAGGATTGGTGCCCTAGATTTCCATAATTTGTAATTGCAAAACCTTGATAGTCTTGATTGAATCTATGATAATAATGAAAAGCTAAATGGCTTGGTTTGCCGCAAACTTGGCACATCAGTCTTGGCTTAGAGTAACCTCTTCCTCTGCCTTTACCTTTGTTAAAAGGAGAAAAACCACTAGCAAATATTTGTGAATTCATAGGATATGAATTATTTCTCATGTTTCCTAATTGTCCTATAAACATAGGTGCTTCCCCATAATGAGAACTGCCTGAGTTTCTCAAAATCATGTTCTGAGTTTGCTGAGGTTGCTAAAACATATTACCGGATTCTTGAAAATTCACCAGTGGTAGACCTTGTTGTGACGATATTCCATATGAAACACGTGACAGAGATGCAGTTCCTTCAGAAGTGTTAGTCTTAGCTGCCATTAATCCAGAAGACATTTGCTCATGAAAGGTCAGTAATGCACCATTCTGTCTCTCTAACCTCAATTCATGTTTGTGTAACAGGAATAGAACTTCCTGAAAGGTAATTTGACTCACAGTTGAAGTAAGGTTAGCTACTACAACATCGTATTCAGATCCCAATCCATCCAGAATGTACATTAACAATTCTTCATCTTCTATGTGTACACCACTAGCATTAAGTTCATCCGCAAATTCTTTCATACGTAACACATAGTCATTCATACTTTAAGACTCTTTTTTAGTTGTATTCAACATATTTTGTAGGTACAGAGTTCTTGCTTTAGAAAAAGATTGAAAGTGTAATTCCAGTGTGCTCCATATCTCATAGGCACTACTACATTTAGAGACATGCCTAAACATTGACTCTAAGATTGACGAAAACAACCAACTAACCAGAAATTGGTCCATCTTCTTCCAGTTTAAATACTTAGGGTTTGGACATTTAATCAACTCTTCACTCTCATCTACTTTTTCCATTACAAACATAGGAGGACAAGAGTTCGTACCTGTGATGTATCCATCCAATTCATGAGAAACTAATGTTGGTAAGACTTGTGAGCGCCAGTAATTGTAGTGTCTTTCAACCAATTTCACTGTCAAATTCAAAAGGTTTGAGTGAGTTGTAGAATTTTGAGCATTTGTACTGATTGATTGTTCAACATCTATTGTAGAGTCACTTGATTGTAGAGCTTTGTTCGATTAAGAGAATTGATTTCAAGATTTGCCTTCGACGTTGCTACTAGAATCTAAGAAGAAAAATGACACACGCAAGAGAGGGAAGAAGTTAGTTACACGAGCTGAAATTTTAAGAGAGTAGTCTTTGGATTTCATTCATTGAGCTCTCACAAAGAAGAAGCTCTTTTATACTGATATTAAAACACTTAAAACGCAACGTTTTATACTGCTGATACAACACTGAAAACGCAACGTATAAGACTGCTAATTACTTACTAATTTCCAACCAATCCTAGTCATTTTAATTGTTACAAAGATGACCACAGTTCTTTGTCTGTTTATCTCAATACTCAATAATTCAAATGAGCAATAAGTCATATATGTTTTAACTGAAAAAGAAATCATTACTGAAATTAGACAAAAAGAGGAAGGAGATAATACGGAAAAAATTTCATGCCAAGAAGCTCTAAACATACTTGAGAGCTAGAAATATTTTGGCTTCAACAAGAAGATGTTCATGCTAGTGACTTATTATGTATTTGCAAGATAAAAGATGTGGTGACAACTCTAAAACATAAATTATTATCTCAAACAACTTTAGATAAATATTTTATTTCATCTTAAACTTTTAATGTAATATAACATATATTTTTTGCAATATGTAGAGGTAAGTTCCTTAAGACGGGACCTAGAAAAATTATAACTTATTACAATGTGAAATTTATTCTTATTTATAACTGGTCAAAGTTGGAACCGGAAGTTTTTATGACTATATAGAAGTTATTCTTATATAGAGTATCACTATAAAGAGGTTTTACTGTATTTACAATTTAAGCAAATCTAATTCTCTAGAACTAAATTAATCTAATTAAATACCACGTGTCAAATGCAAGTTTAAAGCAAACTTTGAAATATCCTTCCAAAAACCATTAAACTCCTAGCCGACCCTATACCCATTAGCCTATATGTACTTTAATTAAGTTACAAATTAATCCCCAGTTGCAGGAGTAAAATAGACATAAAGATGCTATTTGATTGGATTGAATCTTTTTCATGTGCAATGTTTCAACATCACTAGTAGGGGTTAGCACGGGTAGCGGGTAGAACCGGAACCCGGGGTAAGAACCAGAACCGGAATCAGAACCTACCCAGAACCTGCACTGTGCGGGTATGTTCCAGTTCCAATTTTTTGGAACCGCTACTGTGCGGTTTCGGTTCCAGTTCTTGCATGTGGAGGAACCCGAACCGGAACCGGAACCTGTAAAAAGGGTACCCTGTTTGGAACCTGTAGGGGATACCCGGTTTAGAACTTGTTTTGGAACCTGTTTGGAACATGTTTGGAACATATTTTGGAACCTGTTTGGAACTTGTTTTGGAACCTATTTGGAACCTGCTTTGGAACCTGTTTTAGAACCTGTTTGGAACCTGTTTTGGAACCTGTTTTTAGAAACTGTTTAGAACCTATTTTGGAACCTGGACTATAATGAAATATTTGTGAAATGTAAATAATAGGGGAGTTTCTATTATTTTATATATAAAAAAATTTTAAATAGAAAAAGTTAAATTTTTAGAATAACCTAATTAAATAAATATACGAATACAATTATACTTATTACATATAAATTACACCATATTAAAAGCTTTAATATGTTATAATACATTAATATTAAAGTTTTGATCAATTAAGTGAATAATTGGAATTATGATCCAATTAAAAGTGTTTTACATTTTTAATGTTATTAAAAGAATTATTTTTGAATAAAATAGTATATTTGATTGAGTAATAATATATTTAGTTATTTACTTCAATTATCAAGTTCTAAGTATNGTTTTGTCAACAACCCACCAAAGGTTAAGCCTCCGAAACAAGGTAAGTAGGATTCTTCCTCTAAGGCAAGTGAATCAAGGTTTTCCTTATTCACTAGATCTCCTCCTATGTGGATTCCAAATCCTACTGGGATACGAACATCCCACGACTACTATATAAACTGGGGTCATCTCTCTGTTTAGACATCCAACATTATACCTTCTAATCCTATAGTTCTCACACTCTTGAGAGCCATATCCCGACCCCATGGTCTTAGTTCTCTACGTAGCTACTGGTAACCCTTCCTTTCCCTTAACCCTCACTAAAAAGCTTCTATTATCTTTACTGACTTGAGCGTCGGAGTGCCTACGGCAAATACCACTCTGGTGTTTTCCATTCCTTTCACGCTAGTTTCTTTGTGTGTGTGCAAGTGCAGCAGATTGTCAGTGGTCTCAATCTCACAAGATCAGACCTTACTTCCGCAACCGTAGATTTTGACATCTATAGTTTTGCGCCCACTCGTGGGGCCTTAGGCAATCAACATAAACTTTCCTCAGCAGCACTAAGTCAATGCAATTAATGGCATGTCTCCTTCAAATCTTAATTCTCATTGTTAATAAGCCACTAGACCCTAAACTATAAACCTATCGGACTGTTCCATGTGAAACATGAATCTAATTCTATGGATTACTGTAATTTTAGAATTAATCACCACATTTGTAAACCATAACGACAAAAGTGTATGGTAAACAGTTTCAAATTAATTTTACAGAGACCAAGACAGGCTTAATTTGATTGAATGATATGGATTTGGTAGATTAAACCGATTGAGAGTTATAAATAATAGCTCTAATTAGAAGAGTTGAATTGGGCAGATGGAAATAGAGAGATTGAGACACATGAGATTTGGAGGAAGCTTGTTAAAGAGTTGAGTGTTCCTCAGATTCAGTGGAAGGGTTGTGATGTAGAACATATCTGACCAGTCTAGCTTTTGATCCTCTGAAACCACAAAGAGCTGCCCAAATCCTTCATGGTTGTCTTGCTCCTGCCACAACTGCTTCTTTTCTTCATATGGAAGCTTGAAGAAATTTTCAATTTCCAACTTGAATTTCTCCAGAAATGAAATACTAACTCCATGGTTTATAATCTGAACTTCATATAAATTTTCATCAGTTTCTGATTAACTTAGTTGCTCTTTATCTTTGAGATGAATAATTAAGTTGACAGTACGAATCTGAAAGAATCCCCATTCTTTGCAAGCTAAGTGCAACCTCTCCAGTTCATAATCCACAGAAGCCAATTTCTGAAGATCAATGACAGGTACAGATGGCAATCGGAGGGTCCTCATGAGAACGAATATATCGAGGTGGGATGTCGATGATGGGTTGTTTTGCTAATTCCTGAACACTTGGTACTATTAAAGATTTACCAAAGTTGACTGCTTCTTCCTCCTGTAACTCTAACTCCATCACTAACAGACAAGGAAGCGGCAACAGTAACCACAGGTTAGATCGGGGACAAAGACTGTTTTGTCGCAAAAAGTTCTTTGATAATGTTGAAATCTGGCCATACTGGCCCAATGATGTTCGAGGCCTAAATTTTGTTTTATATATTGTTAATATATGACAGTGGGTCTTCTGTGATTTCGAAAATGGACTTATCGAGCAAAGGTGTTCAAACACTTTATAACCTATATTCTTTTTTTTTTTTTTTTTTTTTTAATGTGGGATCCTAACATTATAAAATAAAGATATTTGAATGGTGAATGCATATTTTATTAAGATTTCTAATTTCAATGTAGAGAAAGAAAAGATAAAACAGTTCAATTCTAATTCTAATGAGAATCATCTACTCCTTTTTAATTTTTTTTAAAGGTATGTGAATTTAACTTTCCAAGTATTAACAGTTAATTTGATGTATCCTAACAAAAATATATATGATTTTAAGAGATATAAATGGGAAAGTTACTAAAATCATATCATGAAAATTAAATAATTGCTGATCTAATTAATAGAACAAAAATAGTTAAGACAATTATTTAAACTTTTAAGTGAACGTTGTAGAAGTTTACTGATTGAAAAGAAAGTTATTTTTTTTAGAAAAAGTTATTTTTTTTAAAAAAAAAAAAATGAAACCAAAATATTACTTAATATTATAAAAATGACGACTTGAAAAAAATCCCCTTTTCAAAATCTTCTTCAGAAGCTCCCGACAACTCTCTTATTTTGTATGCCCTAAAATACTAAAAAGCAATGTTCTAAAACTCAACTCGAGGTGTCATCTGGCTAGGGGGTTGAGTCTTGGGTTGACTGGTCCAACTAATTAAACTGACGGTCTGATTGGCAATCTAGCAAGTTTGAAATCTTGCAAACACACTCCTAATAAATACGTATTAATCCCTACAGGTTTGAAACCCAACAAACACGTCCCTATGATCTGATTGAGAGTGAAGGAAGATGTAGAAGATGCAGATGACAAGGCTGAAAATGAGAGGAGTTTCAAGTAGAGTTCGGCAGCCTCCAATATGGTCCAAGGATTATGCGGCAATGGAAGTAGTTTAGTTGTTTTTGGACTCTGATCAGACTAGTAGTTAATTAGGATTTCTTTAGTATTAGGAAGGATGATTATGTCTTATCTGTAGTTTACATTAAATAGGATTCCTAACTTCATTAGGAAGGCATGGTTTGTTGGGTATTTAAAAGAGTAGTGGTCTGGAAAATAGGTTATCAGTCAATTAATAAAAATCTCTTCTTTCTCTTTATTCTTGGGAGGTACTGTTCACTCATACAGAGCATATTTATCTTAACAATTGGTGCTTTCGTCCAATGGCCGATGGTACTCGTTTGAAAACTCTTGATACACAGGTTAGTCAACTGGTGACAAGTCAGGCCACTATGGTTGAACAACTGGAGTCCTTAGGGCAATTTTTAAAAGAACTTGGTGGAAAGGTTTCCGTTTTAGATGCAGAACGCGTGGATAGGCAGCAAAGTGTGCAACCACTGATAGGAGGTGGTACGAATGGTAATCAGACAGGTGGTGCTACTTCTTCTTCTGCTTCAGGATTCCAGCACATGAACTCAGGGGGCATTCCTTTCAAGCCTTTTCGGTTGGAAGCTCCTCGCTTTAATGGTACAGACCCTAATGGTTGGCAGTTTCAGGTTGAACAATTTTTTGATTATCATGATACTCCACATATGCAGCGCTTAACCATCGCTTCCTTCCATATGGAGGGCCCGACCTTGTCTTGGTATCGTTGGATGCATGTCAATGGATAACTGTGCTCATGGCGATCCTTTCCACAAGATTTACAAACTCGATTTAGTCCATCGGCTTTCATGGATTACTAGGGGCAGTTGGCCAAGATTTCACAGAAAGGGTCAGTTGCTGAGTATCAGAATCAATTTGAAGAGTTGTCCAATAAAGTCGCAAGTGTTTCTGATTCCTTTCTCCTTAATTGTTTTATTTCGGGCCTCAAATCTGATATTCAGCATGAGGTTCGCTCGTTTCAGCCGACTTCTTGAATGCAAGCAATGGGATTGGCTCGGCTTCAGGAGGATAAATTAGGTTTATTAAGACAACAGTTACGTATGTCAGGTTCGCGTAGTTGGGATTCTCAGAGACCAAGATATACTCCATCATTCGGGCTACCACCCCTTCTACCCACACCAGAGCCGTTTCGACGTTCAGAGGTCTCATCGAATTGGTGTACCACTTCGCTTCACATTAAGCGTTTAACTCCAGCTCAAATTCAGGCGCGCCGCGAAAAAGGACTGTGTTTTAATTGTGAGGAACATTTTGATCCTGGACATCGCTGTGAGGCCAAGTTCTACTTACACACTATTGAGGAGGATACGGATATGTTAACTGAGATTGAGACCATGAACGGTGCTGACAATCCAGGGGATCCAGAGATGGCGGCAATTAGTCTGCACGCCTTACGGGGACAGCGCAATCCAAGTACCGTCCGGATGAGTGGGCGTCTTCAAGGCCAGCAAGTGGAAGTGTTAATTGATGGTAGCTTTACCCATAATTTCATACAGGAAAGAGTGGCTATTCATTTGGGCCTCCCTATAGTGGCTTTTATCAACTTTACCGTAATCATTGGCAATGGAGATCACATGTGTTGTTCTAGGGTGTGTGCAAATGCTTCTCTGCAACTGGATGGCAATGAATTTCCAGTGGATTTATTTGTCCTACCAATCCATGGGGCAGATCTTGTTTTGGGAGTGTAGTGGCTGGCGACTTTGGGTCCTATTCTTATGGATTACAAGGCTTTAACCATCTCCTTTGATTGGTAGGGCAAATCTTTGACTTTGCAAGGCCGACAACCTCAACGCATTGCCCCAATTCAGTTCCATCGATTGGAACGTTTGTTCAATATGAATTCCAGTGATGAATCTTTCCTATGTTTTGATATTTCAGGTTCCTTTTCATCCTGTACACAACTACAAAATTATGCTCCTGCACCAGCCCTTAGCAGTGTTTTAACACAATATGGGTCAGTCTTTAACATCCCTACAGAGTTGCCTCCTCAATGCCTTAGTGATCATCGGATTCCTTTTCTTGCCACTGCTCCACTTGTTCAGGTTAGGCCAGACTGGTGTCCCTATTTTCAGAAGGGTGAGTTAGAGCGCATGGTGCGTGAAATGCTAGAAAGCGGGTTTATTCGCCCAAGTTGCAGTCCGTTTTCCTCACCGGTATTATTGGTTAAAAAACGCGATGGTTCATGGCGTTTCTGCATGGATTACAAGGCTTTGAATAAAAATACCATTCCTGAAAAATTTCCCATTCCTACGGTGGATGAGCTTCTAGATGAATTATTTGGTGCGACTATATTCTCTAAAGTTGATCTTCGTTCTAGATACCATCAAATCCTAATGGTAGAGGAGGACATTTTCAAACCGGCTTTTTGCACCTATGATGGTCACTATGAGTTTGTGGTGATACCGTTTGGTCTCACTAATGCTCCCGCAACCTTTCAAAGTACAATAAATGACGTATTTCATCCGTTCTTGCGTAAGTTTGCTATTATTTTCTTTGACAACATCTTGGTGTACAGTCATGGGCTAGAGGATCATGTGCACCATCTTTCAATTGTACTACAATGTTTGAGGGAAAATCAGTTGTTTGCTAAAATGGAAAAGTGTGTATTTGGCGTCAATCGTTTGGAGTACCTAGGCCATATTGTTTCAGTTGAAGGAGTAGAAGCTGACCCAGCAAAGATTCAAGCCATGTCCGATTGGCCTATCCCAAGCACAATACGAAAACTGCGTGGCTTCCTGGGGTTAACAGGGTATTATCAGCGTTTCATAAAGTCTTATGCTACGTTAGCGGCACCCTTTACCTCCCTATTGCAGAAGAACAAGTTTGCACCCCTTACCACCCGATTGCTTTCTTTAGTAAGAAACTATCGTCGAGACTACAACGAGCTTCCACATATGTGAGAGAGTTGTTCACGGTAACAGAGGTTGTGACGCGTTGGCGTCAATATCTTTTGGGGCGTAAATTTCTTATCCGCATTGATCAATAGAGTTTATGAAATCTTCTCTCACAAGTGATCCAGACACCCGAACAACACAACTACCTTATCAAGTTGCTCGGCTTTGATTTTATCGTCACTTACAAACCAGGAAAAGACAATGCTGCCGCCGATGCTTTGTCCCGCCAGCATGAAGAAACTGAGGAACCAAAAGTACTTGCTTTAACAGTATTTTTTTTTGACATTTTATAGCAGATTCGGGAGGCCCTTCTTCAAGATACCACATGTGCCGAGTTGATCAAGCAAGTAAAAAGAGATCCAAGCTTGAACCCGGGTTATTCTGTTCATGATAAATTATTGTTTTACAGGGGGCGTATTATGGTGCCACCTCGAGACTACTTATGGCGGTAGTTACTAGAGGAGTTTCACTCTTCTCCCATAGGAGGTCACAGTGGCATTCGCAAGACGGAAAGCAGGATTGCCTTAAATTGTTATTGGAAATGTAATAACTGCTTCATACTAGGGTACTCATAGAATTACATAAAGTAAATATATTTATATTAGCAAAAGTAAATGGGCCCAAAATTTTCTTTTAATACATTTAATCATTCTTTATACAAAGTAAGGCATCATTAGTAAAAGTTATCAAAAACAGTGGACAGTGTAGCTATTGCCCCGTGCTTGCCGACGCCCATTCGACCGCGTCCTCATCTAGATCCTACAAACACAAAGAGAAACAATGGGGTGAGCACAAAATAATGCTCAATAAGTAAATCCTCTACTTGTCTGTCCCCGTAACTCTTTCTCATAATTCTTTCCTTACACTCATCTCATCTCATTTATTTTCTCTTTCACAAAGCTCTTTTCTA